TACTTGAAAATACTAAGAGTGACATAACAGCCATCCCATAAATGTAGGGCTGCCAGACGTCCCGGTTTTCCCGGACATACCCCGGTTTTAGACCATTTGTCCCGGTGTCCCGGTCCAACCTTTAAATGTCCCGGGTTTCGTTTAAGTGTCCCGGTTTTCGAATTATATGCACAAATTTAATAAAAGTTCAAAATCACTACCGGTGTCATTTGTGATATAGTTACATCTCCGGTGACAGGTAATAAGATCGTGCGAAATAAAGTCAATTGACATTATTACCTTTTTAAAAACGAAATAAAATCCATTGACATTATTTCTCTTTCAAACATTAAATTTGCTTAGCTTCGCGGCGGCCGGCGCGCACACCACGTCACGCTACGCCGCGGCACTTAATTTTTCAATTTGGCACAAAGTGCCAAAATGGCACTTTTTTTAAAAAATAGCATTTCAATACATTTTTGTGAAATCCTTTGCGTGCTATTCTTTTTCTCAACTAAAATTTTCTAACTTATAAAGGCTATTCAACTGGTTTATCTATAGCTTTATAGTTTTATTTTATTGCTAAATGTGAATGATTAAAAGGAATGACACCTTTTTTGGCACTTTTATTTTTCTATTTGGCACATTTTGGCACTTTTTTATCCTCAATATGGCACCTCATTACTAAGGATAGTTGGCAGCCCTGATTGGAAGATTTCTGCTGTGTTTTGTTCTGTTTCTAAAGTGTGTGAAAAGCAATCAATTAACTTTTCTACGATTGTTTCCTTATAGAAAGGTTGGTTTCTTTTCCACCTTATACATTCCGAATTCGTCCAAAATATGCTAATTTAAAACCCAGAATCCTTTCAGTGTTCCTCCGGGGTTTTTGGACATGGACTGTTCCTGCAATTTAATAGTGTTCCCTTTATTTTTGTGGAAACGAAACATGTTTTGCAAGTTATGGATGATTTCTACACTCTTACTTCAAATATTTCTGGTATTCCAGCTGTGCGCAGGCGTTTAGTTTTTCGCATCGTGTTTTTACATATTCGTAATTAAAATTTTTTTAATAAAATCAATTGATGGTAGTTCATGATTGTGTGTGGATTAATATCACACCTTTTTCATCTATTAAAAAACAACACTTACGGGGCAATGTTTATTGTAAGAACAACATTTTTTCTATGAATCGACATACTTTAAACATTGTTGACGCTATTTCCATTTGAATGAGGAAATAGCGTCAATGACTTTATTTCCAAATTTTCGGTGACTTTATTTCGCTTTTGAAAAGGTAATAATGCCAGTTGACTTTGTTTCGCACCATGGTGGGAAATAAAGTCAAATGACCTTATTTCCGTTGATCTTGTTACCTGTCACCACATCTCCAGATAGTTGGACTTTGCACAAGCAATATTCGATGATCGATATACCCACATACATACCTGTAAGTGTAAAGTGCCATTCCTAATTAGCATCAGCTGTTATTTTTTGTTTATTTGTTTTGCTCGTTTGTTTTTCGGGTGGGCTTTAATTCCAATGTAAGTTTTCGCGACCAAGTTTATAGAATATAAAACTGTGTGTTTATAGTGTTTTGATTACCCTTAGAAAATGCCAAAGAGAACGTATAAATTCCTTTCCGCTTACACAGAAGAGTGCGTCATTTGCTTATATTTTTTGAAGTTATAGTACCTTAAAAGAGAGCCTCACTGAGTTGTCAACCACACCTTGTTTAATACACCCAATGTGGATCAATGTTTTTTTCTTATTTCATCTCAATAGACTAAGGAAAGAGATTTGCTCAATATAAGTACATAAATTAAATGACGTGCACAGAGTTTTAAAATTATATAAGGAATAGTCAGGAGTTTTGAAACAAGTTCACAACAACGAAAAATATGACTGATTTTTTAATGTTATCTTGTACTTAAATTTTTTTTCATGAAACCTAGTGTACTGATAAGTACAGTGCCGTACAAACTTATTGGCTCAGAGAATTTTTCATCAGATCTTTTAGAAAAATATTGAAAATGTACCAGTTTCTTTCATACAAAAAGAATTGTCGTACATAGTTTGTATGGAAGAAGCTGTCAGCAAAAAATTATCAAAAAGGGACTAAAATTGTTGGGCCACAAAACTTCTTTTCAAAATTTGTATAAAAAGTCTGATTAGAAAGTTGCAAATTTATTGAATTTTCCCCGGTTTCGCACAAAGTCTAGAAATTCTGTTTTTGTTTTTTTGATGTAGTATAAACGGTATATGTATAAAAATTAAAGCAAAAAAATGTTGAATGCATTCTGCCAACAATTTTGGGCGGCCCTATATGTTTATTTTGAACTTTAGTACGTTGAAATGATCTCATCTTTTTATGGTTTTGTTTTTGTCTTGCCAAAATAAAATTTTACTACATACTTTCGTAAGTAAGTATTTTTTGTCTAAAGGTAAGGAAAGGGAGGGGCGGTTGTGGTGTTAGATTTTCCAGTCCAGTGTGGTGTCCCGGTTTGCCAACGGAGATATCTGGCAGCCTNAGTATAAACGGTATATGTATAAAAATTAAAGCAAAAAAATGTTGAATGCATTCTGCCAACAATTTTGGGCGGCCCTATATGTTTATTTTGAACTTTAGTACGTTGAAATGATCTCATCTTTTTATGGTTTTGTTTTTGTCTTGCCAAAATAAAATTTTACTACATACTTTCGTACGTAATTAATTTTTGTCTAAAGGTAAGGAAAGGGAGGGGCGGTTGTGGTGTTAGACTTTCCAGTCCAGTGTGGTGTCCCGGTTTGCCAACGGAGATATCTGGCAGCCCTACATAAATGCGATGAACGGGACCAATAAGTAAATACGTCGAGCCTTCATACGTCCATTACTTGGACTTGGACTTACGGAAGAGAAAGACGATGCGTCCAACGATATGTTCTATGAGCGCTTGAAGCGCACCTATGAGTGCTGTCCCCGTCACGGATATCAAACTCGTGCTTGGCGATTCCAATGCCAGATGGGGAGAGGACGCGATGTATCGCCTCACTGTGGAAAAACTCAATATCCACGTAAAAACATCCGATATCAGACTGTGTCTGATCGACTTCGTCGGCCTCGAAATATTGTAGTCTGCAGGTCTAGAAATCAAATCGACCATGAAAATCGTGGCAAATATACCCGAAAGGAGGATCGACACTCACCTTTTTCGCATCTTCTATAGCATGAAAAGGAGTGGACTATAAGCAGCGATGTTGGAAACTTGTATTCCCATGAATTGGGGAGGACCTCTCCGAGTCGTTTCCCCACCGGGTCGCGCAAATCAATTCTACATTCCTTGCGACGGGCTTTTCAATATTTTGAAAANGTCGAGCCTTCATACGTCCATTACTTGGACTTGGACTTACGGAAGAGAAAGACGATGCGTCCAACGATATGTTCTATGAGCGCTTGAAGCGCACCTATGAGTGCTGTCCCCGTCACGGATATCAAACTCGTGCTTGGCGATTCCAATGCCAGATGGGGAGAGGACGCGATGTATCGCCTCACTGTGGAAAAACTCAATATCCACGTAAAAACATCCGATATCAGACTGTGTCTGATCGACTTCGTCGGCCTCGAAATATTGTAGTCTGCAGGTCTAGAAATCAAATCGACCTTGAAAATCGTGGAAAATATACCCGAAAGGAGGATCGACACTCACCTTTTTCGCATCTGCTATAGCAGGAGTGGACTATAAGCAGCGACGTTGGAATCTTGTATTCCCAAGAATTGGGGAGGACCTCTCCGAGTCGTTTCCCCCCCGGGTCGCGCAAATCAAGTTCTACATTCCTTGCGACGGGCTTTTCAATATTTTGAAAGGATAAATCAACCATGAAAACAATTTTCAGTTTGCCAATTTTCGACACTAATTTGACGGCACTATATAGGTATGTATGTAAAATGAATGAATAAAGCACCTAATGTTGGTGGGGGGGACCGGGTAAAAAAGTTTATAAAAGATATCACGTGATTTATGGACGCCCCCTAAGATAAAAACTTCTGCGTTTTCTAGGAAATATTTACATATGTTTCTACTTTTACTTTTCTATTTTAATTTTACGGAGCCTCATTCAAAAATTTAGATTCTTTTCGATACATTTGGCAACTTTAGAACTTAATATAGATTTCATATTTTTTCAACTAGATACTCGAATTTCGCAAATGAAAAAGGATCAACTGCAACTCAAAATAAAAAAGCCCAACAATTTTAATTACTTTTAGAAAAAATATATCCCCTCAACTAGTTTGCTGGCAATGCTGCTCTAAACTGTCCCAACTCATTAGGAAGCGTACATTTTTTGTTTTAAATAATTTACACATATATAGATACTTACTCTCATGCAAATCAGGACAAAAGCAATTAGCCTCAGTAAAACATATCCATCAAATTAATGTTCTCCACACACCTAAATATGTACATATTTATACATACATATGTATGTACTCGCAAATATTCTGTGTGCGTGCTAAACTATCAAGGCAGGTAACTGAAATTTGGCATGACAAGCGCGATTAAAGCATAATAGCACACGCACAACCCCCCACAGACATACATATATACATATATATGTACATATGTATGCGTATGTGTAGCCCCACCTTGTATTTACCAGTATTGCACAAATAACCGACTAATCGAAATTTCAATTTCAATATTTGCATGCAAAGCTGCTGGTTTTGTGGTTAGCATATGGCGCATGGACAACGGAAATACTAACACATACATATGTATGTACATACATATGTATACAAGTACTTAAATGAAATGTAGTATGTTTTAGCATAATATTTCCGTTCTTCACATGCACGCAACATATTGGATATTATTTTAAACTAAAGTAGTTGTGCAAAGTCGTTGCTAATAGCAAGCCCNTTAGTTTTGTTGACAATTTTTCTTCAATCACAATATTTTATAAGTAGTTTGTTAAATATTCAATTTAAGAAAATTATTAAGTATATGATTTATTGGCAGACTGGTGCAAACGCCAAACACGATCTACCACTTTCTTTTATAATTAAACTTCTTGTAAGTAGCTACTACATATGTAATTCAAAAATACAAATTAATTTAACGAGTTTTGCAATTCTTTCACAGGCTGCGCGGAGTAACACTAAAGGATTTAAACGTTTAATTCCCCTATCTCGTAAGTTTATAGTTATTTATTTTTTTAATTTGCTAGTTTATTAGGTCTTTGCAGTTATTGAACTTAATGTTTTATTGATAATATGGCTTCTCAATTAACAAGGCGTGCGAAATCTGAAGCCTTATCCGTACTAGTGTCAATAAATTATTCATTAAAAAAAAATTATTACAGATGAGGTAGCAAAACTTTTCTCGTGGAAGGGAACTGGTACCAAAAGCAGCGCTATTGGTTTGGCAACGACTGCGGCAATAAGAAGTACGGATCATAATGTTATTTATAACCACTTTTTACTTAATTAAATTTTCCGGTTGCCAATGGAGTTTAATCTTTCACTTTATTTTCTTAGGTGCTTTTCGTCAAAAATTTAACTCCCACGAAGAAGTTTTTATTTCCGTTTCAAAGAAGCACTTCCAATATGAACACGACCGGCAAAAAAAATTGGCAGCCTATCGACAAAAAAGATGAAAAATAAATTCAGCAACTTTATAATATATATTAAACCCCTTATTTAATATTTTCGTGTTTCCTCACGTCGACAATGATGATTCTTATCCTCACAAAAGTAATTGCAACGCGAGTGGCAGGCAGCATTCAAAGAGCTTTTTGCCTAGCAATAATAAGATTTATTTGGTAAATGGTGAATGCAATGAACATACATACATATACATTAGACTGCATCACTCCCCATACAAAAAAAAATCTGTACTGTTCTTTCATTGGAATTATAAAATCTATTATATTTTAAGACGTCCACCAAAATTTTTCGAAAAAATATTATGATTTAAGTGAGCTGGACCGATTTGAAAATACCTCCAAAGATCCCCTCAGATGAAAAGTTCTTTAAGAAACTATTTTTATTCATAAAAAACTCCATTTTTGGTGGTATTTTCAAATCGCTCCAGCTCGCTTAAATCTTAATATTTTTCCGAAATATTTTGGTGGACGTCTTAAAATGTAACAAATTTTGTAATCCCGGCAGAAAAACCGCAACTTTTTTGGTAATGCAGTCTAATATACATACATATAAGCACCAACAGATCTAACAAATAAATTTATTTGTGCAGATAGTACCAGGCGGTGCCAGCAGCGCCAATAAAGGCAATCAAGCGGCAAGCTTGTGCAAATCGACAGGTGCAAATATTTGCAAATTTTCCTGAATTTATTAGTCTGTATTTTGCATGATTGCATGTAGCAGCAATGCTTTGTGCCGCCTTTCTATGATTTTCTATGTCAGCATGTAATCATAAAAGAGGTGTGTAGAAGAAATGCATACAGACAGTGCCGTCCTTATCAATGTTTTTGTGGGAAATTAGTATGAAAGTTGCAATGCAAATTGCCTTTAGCAACAGATACCAATTGATGCAATGAATGCAAATGGAGGTAGTTCTAGTGTATATATATGTACATATGTACATATATACATACATACATATTTATGATCATTTTAGTGCAGGTTAGAATATACCTCAGGCATATGAACAATCAATGAGAATTGCCAATTTGCTAGTTATCGCTTTTTGTGCTGTCTTCCTTTTTATTTTCAACGAACTAAGCTAATGGCTTGCTATTAGCAACGACTTTGCACAACTACTTTAGTTTAAAATAATATCCAATATGTTGCGTGCATGTGAAGAACGGAAATAGTATGCTAAAACATCCCTGCAAACCAAAGTTCCCGAAATCTTAACGAACTCTTTAGGAGTATCTGATTTCTGTAACGATTTTTTTCCGAGTCTTCAAAGAAAATTATATGAAGTGGTTGACACGAACTCGTAAAGAAATTTCTGTACGAAAAATAAAGAAAATTCTGAAAAAAGTCTGCAAGAAATTCTTCACATAGCAGCTTTATTTTCATTTCTTTACCGATTTTCTTCCGAAATTTCGTAAAAGAATGGAAGTGTGCGTAATTTATTTCATTTTAGAAAATTCGTCAAAAAATCGGATGGGATCTTTCCGAATTCTTTAAAAATTCTTTACGATTCAGAATACTCTGTAGAAATGGTTTGCAGGGATACTACATTTCATTCCCAGCCAGCAAAATCATCGTAAACAAGCTCGTAATTGGATATTTTCTCGAAGAAAAACCGGATTAAAAATCGTTTATGATAGCCGTTTACGACTCTTTTTCGAGCACTTTTTCGCTTTAAATTGTTCATCGCCTACGAACAGTCGTAAACGGATCGAAAAAGCATTCGTATGCGAATATTTTTACGTCCGTTTTTTAATTGTAAACGAGTCTCGTAAACGATTAATTTACGTTAAAAAAGCGTTTTTCTACACTGCTTTATCTACTGTTTTTGAATGCTAAAAATAAAGGCAATTAATTAATTCAAATTATTGTAGTTCTTTTATTGAATGGAATTATAATTAATAAATATTTATAGTGCCGGATCAAAGTATTGGCACAGAGAATTTTTCGCAATGTATGCAAAGTTTTTTACTTGGATTTCTTTTCGCACATTATTTTTTTTAAATATAGTTAGTATGAAGACCTACTTTTAAATCAGATTTTTGAGAAAAATTCTAAGTATGCAGTTTTATATCCCATTATATTTTAGTATAACATAGTGCAAGCTTGAAGTTGCCAGAAAACCGCGTTGATTTTTGGCAATTTTTTCACGCAGTTTCTTCCATGCAAATTATGTGCGACATTTTTTTTTTGTATGGAAGAAACTGCGTATAAGAAATTGTCAAAAAACAAAGAGGTTTTCTAGCTATTCAAGCGTGCACTTTATTATACTAAAATTAAATGGGCTATAAAACTGCATACTTAAAATTTTTCTAAAAAATCTGATTTGAAAGTAGAACTTCATACTAACTATATTTTTATAAAAAACAATTAGAGAAGAAATCAGAATAAAAAACTTTGCATTCATGGCGAAAAATTCTCTGTGCCAATATTTTTTCCCGGTACTGTATATGTGAAGATATTTTCAGATAAATAAATATTAACAAACTATCTATTAACAAATTAACA